CAGCAGCCTCTTTTTGCACTTGAAGAGGTATAAGAATTATTGTATAAAAAACATTAGTTTATTTAGGCACCATAAATATCTCAATGCATGCATAATAATTTTATATATTCACAAAAATTAATCAGGTTTGATCATGGGTGCATTCGTTACTCGCTTCTTGTCTCTGTTGTATCTCTTTGGTTATATTGCTTTGATCCAATGCTTTTTGGTTTATGCCATATGCAGGTACTTTGCAACTTGGAGATGTTGGCGCTAAATAATGAGGATGCAAGCATGATATTACAAGGGCAAATTTCACGAAAGCACTTCAACAAACTCAAATATCTTCGTTTGACAAATTTTGAAGATGATCATGCCAATTTTCCCTATTGGTTTCTCCAAAATATAACCACTGTCGATGATCTACTTGTTGAATGGAGTTCTTTCAGGGAGATATTCAAAGAAGAAATACCTATAGATGACAAAGGAAAATCTAAAACCGGAGCACGACTCAAAACATTGAGACTCTATTACTTGGATGATCTCCAGCATATATGTACAGAAGGATTTCGAATAGATCCTGTCCTAGAGGTTCTTGAATGCTTACGGGTCTCTGATTGTTCCAGTTTGAAACACTTAGCGCCTTCATCTGCAACATTTCATCACCTGACATATTTGGAGGTGGCAAATTGCAATGGATTGCTTCACTTAATTACCTCATCAACTGCAAGAAGCCTGGTCAAATTAACAACAATGAAAATAACGAAGTGCAATTCACTTGAGCAAGTTGTGGCGGAAGAGAGGGAGGGGCCTGACGATAAAATTGCATTCAGTAGCTTAGAGTTTTTGGAGCTAGAGAGCTTGCCAATGATCAAGAGGTTTTGCTCCTCCGATTGCTACTTAAACTTTCCGTTGTTAAAAGAAGTTGTCATTGAGCAATGCCCAAGAATGGACACCTTCTCAGCCGGGAGAGACACAAGCACACCAAATCTTCGAAAGATATCATCAAAAGAAGAAGATGGAAACGTGTATTGGGAAGGTGATCTGAATAAGACAATAAGCAATATGTTTGCGGACAAGGTATGCTTTGATTTCACTAGAAAATCATTCTTTATTCCCCTACGATGACAAAATGGTATAAACAAATTGTCAGAAAAGCCAATTGTTTGTGTAAAAAGAAAAATGATTGTGAAAATATCTTTAATTTTTATTGTAAATATTTATTTTCATGATTGTATAGCTTTTATTAGCCTTTATTATTCACTTCTCCTTTTGCTCGGCGCATCCGTTTGGATATATCTTAACTTTTGTATGAATTGAAAAATACAAATTTCTCATGTAATCCAGAATCACATATTGGTGCCATTGCCATAAAAGCTTTAACGAAATGAAGATGAGGCTGTGTTTAGGTTTGAGTTAGATATTTTTATCCTTTTTATTTCTGCTAACATGATAGTTAGTTAATACTTTGAATGAATAGTATTAATTTTATTAGCTGAAAGTAACAAAATGTCATTGTTTAATTTGTTTCGCTGCCCTTCTTGTCTTTTCCCTTACCTTTGTAATTATTTGCACATGTGGCATTTAGTAGGTTCAGTCTTTTGGAATTTTCTGTATATCCAGAATTGAAAGAACTATGGTATGGCCAAGATGGGCCAAATATATTCCGCAATTTGAACCATCTAGTGGTGCGAATACATGCTTATCTAACGTTATTTTTTCATCAAATTTACTGCAATTGTTATATACATTAGAGGAACTGGAAGTATCAGAGCGTGATTCATTAGAAGTGGTATTTGATGTAAAAGCATTGGATGAGAAAGCAGTAGAATCAAAGGAAGTTAGTCGGTTGAAGAAATTAACACTCTCAGGGCTTCCAAATTCGAAATGCATATGGAACAGAAAAGCAGGAGAAATAATCAGCTTCGAAAATTTACAGATTATGAAAGTTGATAAATGCCAACACCTGAAATGTTTGTTTTCGCTCTCACTGTGCCAAGATTTGAGGCAACTTGAAGAGCTTCACATTGGGTCTTGTGGTGTTGAGGAAATTGTTTCAATTGAAGAAGGATTCGAGGAACTCAAGTTTTATTTTCCTCGTTTGACATGCATAAGAGAAAAAAATCATTTTCCCCTTACATGCGATGAGAAAATGCTTTAAACAAACTGTCAAAAAAGCCAATTGTTTGTGAAAAGAAAAATCATTGTGAGAATATCTTTAATTTTTGTTGTCAATATGTTTCCTGATTTTATTGCTTTTATTCGTGTTTATTAGCCTTTATTCACTTGCCTTTTCCCTTTGGTGTATGTATTTGGATGTATGTTATTTTTTTAGGTCAATAAGAAATACAAATTTCCCAAATAAGTAGTAAAAGCATTAACAAAATGAAGAGGAGGTTGTGTTTAGGTTTAAATTAGATATTTTTGTCCTTTCTTGTTTTTGCCATAATTTTGTTAGATTTTGTTCTAACGTACGAGTCAGTTTATACTTTGAGTGGTATTAATTGTTGTAATAACTGAAAGTAGCAAAATGCTGTTGTTTAATTTGCTTCGATGCCCTTATTGTCTTTTCACTTACCTCGATATTCATCTGCATAGGTGGCATTTAGCAAATTCAAATATCTGGAGCTATCAGAATATCCAGAATTGAAACAGCTATGGTATGATCAAGTTGGACAGAAAATATTCTGCAATTTGAAACGTCTGACAGTCCATAAATGTACATTTCTAACCAATGTAATTTTTACATCAAATTTACTGCAATTGCTATATACACTCGAAGAACTAAAAGTAACAGAGTGTGATTCATTAGAAGCAGTGTTTGATGTAAAAGTCTTGGATGACAAGGAAATGCATCCAAACAAAGCTAGTCAGTTGAAAAGTTAACTCTCTCAGGCTTCCAAATCTAAATTACATATGGAACCAAAGACTTTCCAAAAGCACTCAGCCTTGAGAATTTACAAGTTGTGCATGTTGCTGAATGCCAAAACTTGAAATATGTGTTTTCACCATCACTATGCCAAGATTTGAGGCAGCTTGAAGAGCTAAACATTGAGTATTGTGGCGTTGAGCAAATTGTTGGAAATGAAGAAGGATTGGAGGAGCTTAAGTTTTACTTTCCTCGGCTAAGAATCTTTAGGCTAATACGCTTGACACAGCTCAATGATTTCTATCCAAAAAGATATACTCTAGAATGTCCTTCATTGAAGGTATTGAATGTTGGCCGATGTGAAGCATTGCAAATATTTGCATTTGGAAATTTGGACCCCCAGCAGCTTAGAGGGGCTTATGTTGACTTGCCACTCCAACAAGCTTTATTTCATATTGGAAAGGTATTCACCCTTTTTTCCAGTTATTTATCCGTTTCTATGTGGGAATATTATGCGTTAAATGTCAATATCAGTTGTTATTGTATAGCCATTACTAGTATTGATTAGGCTTGATTACATTTTATTCCCCCTTGATGTATGTATAGTTCCTGTATCTCATACTAGTGGAATAAGAAAAACAGAATTCTCATATCATTGGAATTTAATTCTTTTTAAACAAAATGATGGTTGAGGCAATCTAATAAACACATACCATAATTATATATGTGATTAATAAATTTATACACTATATTTATACATGTGTTTTGCAAGGAAATCGGTTCTGTTAACTTGTTAATTTTTTTTTTTACTGGCCTGCTAACTTGTTAATTTATTATATGAGGACTAACTCGTTAATTTAGTATATGAGGGAATAAACATATGATTTTGTCCTTTTAGGTATCAGAAAACTTGGAGGAGTTATCATTAAATGAAAAGGATGCTATGAAGATATTGAATGGAAGTTATGAGAAAACACTCTTTCAAAGAACAGAAATGCTTCGTTTGCAATATTTTCAGGAAACTCCACTGAAGTTTTTAAATGAATTGCTCGAAAGATTCCCAAGTGCAAAAACACTTCAAGTGCGTTGGAGTTCTTTTGAAACACTTTTTCATACACCAGAAATTGGTCATTTCAATATTGAAAAACCCACTCAAATAAAAAATTTGTGGGTATTTCAATTGGAGCAACTTCAGCATATATGGAATGATGACTCAGCATCAGACACCCTTGTTCCACACCTTGAAGATCTGACCATAATAGAATGCTCTAGGTTAAGAAGATTGGCACCACCTTCGACATCTTTCGCAATCTTAACCACCTTGGAAGTAAAGGATTGCAATGGCTTGATGTACTTCATGACACCTTTCACTGCTAAAAGTCTCGTCCACCTCTCAAGCTTAACAGTTAGCAATTGTGGGATGCTAGAGGAGATTGTGATGACTAATGAAGGAAGATCAGAAGAAGAAATCATATTTGAAAGCTTGAAGGATTTGGAACTAACTTGTCTATCAAGTTTCAAAAGCTTTTGCTCTGGGAAACACACCTTCATATTCCCCTCTTTGGTGAAATTAAAAGTGACAGAATGCCACAAAATGCAAAATTTCTCATCTGGAACCATTATTGCCCCATTTCTGAAATTAGTGGAGGTGGAAAATGGGAGAAAACGCTGGAAAGGGGACCTTAACACTACTATCAAGCATTTGTTCACGGACAAGGTATGTATGCTAAAAAGTAAATTCTAAGATGTTTGACACTCCTTTGATATTCTTGTTTTTTTACTTTTGTGTCTCAACTTCCATCTATAAAATCTAAAGAACAAAATTTAGACAATACAGACGAAAGAAGATATGGATAAAAATATTAAAACTACATATGTATACATATGTATTTCTGTCAAGATATGATAATCATGTGTGCCTACCTTAATCAGGCAATTCGAGAAGGACAATCAAGTGATATTATAGAAAGTAGTCAAATTCATCAAATGACCAGAAGTACTTCTGAGGCATCAAGCTTTGAAGAGCAAGTGGGACAATCAAAGCCTAATCAGATTACAAACACTGGAAAGCAAGAAACACGCAAGCTTCCAAGTCAATCTCGCGACAGAGAGCAGAATGAACAAGCCTCGTCAGCTATGGAGAGTCCTCTGGCCCATGTTACTCAAAATGCCTCTAGCCCTTCTACAAATCAAGATACAGGTATTGAGATTGTCTTGCATATTGCCATAAATAACCAATATTTCTTTAACTTTCGCCTTAATTTCTTTTAGAGGTTTGAGTGTCTTGGGTATTTATCACTATCACTATCCTTTGGTATATTTAGTGACCGATTCCCCTTGTTGAATAGAGTGCTTAGTGATACTTTGTTATACTCTTTTTTTGACCAAAACACTTTCTTATCATAGTCATTATCTTGATTAAAATTGTTTTTCTTTCTTTGAAATACTTTGAATTCTGATTTTTATAACCTGAAATCATCTAAAAGTAATTGACATGACCAGAAAACTTCTCTCAGTGCCAAATTGTTTAATCAAATCACCACCTTTATTATTAGCCACGCAGAGAACATAATACCTTTCTTTCACATGTAAGAAGGAAGAAATTTATTATTATTATTTTTTCAAAAACCTCACGCAGTTCTCTATTAAATTTATCACTTATTTAGTTATTGACACTTACAAGATGTGTGAAAATCATCTAGATGTAGGTTTTGACCTTATTACAGTACTCTTATTTTTGTTTATTTGAAAGGAAGGCAAGTCATTATACTTTGCTCGAAGCAAAGGTTTTAATCTTTTTTATTAATTAATGATTCTAATGTACTATATATTATGGGAACTGAAAACCACTAGAAGAATCACAAGACGCGGAGACTGAATCTAGCATGAGTCTGTCAAGGCCAGCCACAACTTTCAACGATAAAGAAAGTAATTTTTTCTTACTTTCTTTTGTTTTCTTTTTGTGTCTGTTTTGCAGTTATCAGAAGTAATATAATTTTATTTTGTTAAAATTCTGGATCATTTGTATTTACTTTGAAACTAATAGGTTTAGCTGAGGGGACTCAAGGGATTGGTGAGAACATTGAAAGGCCATTGGTTGAAGCTGCTAAAATTGCTCCTAGCCCCACAGGAGTTTATGATGCAGGTACTGGTATTGTTTTTAGCATGTGAGAGATTATGTAAATTACTTTCTTATAGGGTAATGCATGTTCATTATAGCAGTTGGATTATTAATTTTCCCTACTTTCTTATATCATGTGAATTGAGATATATTAGAGAAATCACAACTTTGGGTTTAAAAAAAAAACAGAGAGAGAGAGAGAAATCACGACTTCTAGAGAAATTCATCCAAGTGAAAATTTGATCATCCGGACCAACTTTTTTCTACAGAAAGTCAACAACAAATTTTTATTTCGTTGATCATAGTTTTAATATTTTTTTTATTTATTTGGAGAAATGATTCTTACTTGTTATTATGGGAAATAAAACCAGCTACAGAAGAATACTGACTTAATAGTCCCCATTTGGTGAGAATTTGATTAAGTAGATCTTGACCATCATTATTGCTGCTCACAAGAGGAAGTTACCACTTCTTCCGCATATAGAGGGAAGGAAATTATTTTTTATTTTGTTAAAGTCTCATGAAAACTATTTTAGACTTAATTTTATGTTTTAATTTATTCACCTAGTGCCAGGACTAAATTAATACTTTGTTATCTTAACTTTGTCGCAAATGGTCTTAAACGAATTTTTTGTGTTATAAATGACGTTGTTGCAGCATTCCTTTGCTTAATTAACTACCATAACCTTCTACTATGCCAACGCAAATTTACCAGAGAAGAAGGCCTCAAAATGACTTGTCTTTTAACTTTTGGAAGCATTTTTTACGTTTTCTTTACAACATTTTATGTCTTGCTTGTTTGGCTTTTGACTCCAGAGGTGAATGAGACTGTGGAGAAGCCCTTAATTCAAACTATCCAGAAAGCACAGAGACCAACTACAGTACAGGACATAGGTTCTCATTTTGTTCTGATTGATGTTTGTTTGATACTCTTGCTTAATTGATTAATGATTTTGACTTCCCATCATGTTAACTGAAATTTGCTAGAAGGACCACATGAGTCAAAAACTTCTCCCAGAGAGCATTTGTTCAACCAACCTGAAACCTTTATAACTAGTGACGACAAAGAAAGTAATGGATTTATTTCTCTTCAGAAAGAAGTAATTTATTTTTATTTTGAAAAAACTTTTGTCTCATAATTTTTTTATTGTTCTTTAAGCTATTGGAACTCACGAGATTCATGAAACCATGGACAAATCCTTGATTCAGACTGACCAAGATGCAGAGAAACTTGTCACAGCACAAAACAAAGGTTCATATCCTGTTTTGTATCTTTTTTTTTTTTTTTGGGTAATGTTCTTTGGATGAACTGATAAATCTATCACGGTGTTAATAAAAATCTACTACAAGACATGATTCATATATTGAGCCTCAAAAGATATGTAACACATCAAGAAGCCTTCTAGTCCAACAACTCAAAACATAAGCATTGTTTTGCAAGATCCAGCTAACTTAACATAGATTGATGTTTATTTTAGCAAGAGAATATTCTATTTTATTTTTCCAAGACTTGACTTATTCTATTTTTTAATTTCAAGCAGCAATAGATCCATCACCTTCAAAAGCTCCGGAACTATGACTTCACCAATACTGGAATTGAATGCTTATAGTGACAAATGGTTGATTGACATTTCCAAACAAAACTTGCCATATTTGGAGGCTGGGTTGAAGCGTCATCCTCAAGTGCTTGATTGGTTCAATACAAAGCGACGAAGAGCATTCGCAGCCTTATTCACCGAAGTCACTAGCATTTTGAGGACTACTAGGAGACGCGACTTGACAGAGGATGATCGAAACTATATCAGAGAGTGCTGTACTGCATTGGCAGCAGTTGGTTTTGATGCTTCTTGGCTCAGTTATGTATATGGCTGCATTGAGAGCTATGGTGATGGAGATGAGCTCATGAGAAAGCTTGAGGAGACTGAAGCCAAAGTTTTCACTCTTAGAAATGAGTTAGCTTCTGCTGAGGCATCCTTAGTCTCATTGCGAGACGAGGCAAGCAGGCTCAATGATTTTATTGAGTCGTGAAGTCCACTCATAGATCTCATTGCTTGACTGGCTTAATACAAGACATTAAAAAGTATTTGCTTCCTCTTTCTTAGTGTTGTTGCTTGACATTTTCTTTTTCAGCACTATATATTTACTTTTGTATGTTGCTTTTGTGGTTTGTCTAATGCACATTAATAATAATCTGTCATTTGTTTTTATCTGATGCAGCAGTTCTGTATGTTTAGTATTGTAGCACAAAGTGTGTTTTCATTTGGCACCAAAGAACAACAACTGAAAATTAAGATTTATTAAAAAAAAAAAAAAGGAGAATCATGGACAACGAACTTCTATGACATGAAACTCCATCAGATGTCTCGTATTCCCCAGCCAAATCAATAAGTCAACAATCTTATATGAAAGCTGAAATAGTTATGCATGACTCGTTTCCAGTTAAAATACGTGGACAAGAAAATGTCAAAGAAGATTGCACTACCAAAATGGGACTTGCGTCCATGACATTGTGTAGGGAAAAAAAAAATGTATTGGCTTTTTCAGTGCCTCTGCCACAAGTAGAATTGCCTTTCATACCTTCCCAATCACAAACGGGGATTTGAATAAAAATAAAAACCAATGGGGCTAAGAGTCAATGTAGAATATCTGGTTAGTTTTCATACACTTTAAAGAAGGAATTGCGTGCGAAAAACTTGGACTGGTATTTGAAGATCATGATGACATTTGATTCTTTGAAGAAACTCACCCTATATGGATCCAGCTGGTTGCTCTCCACGGGACAGAGGATGTGGAAATTCACTAGTAGGTCTCAAGGAAGAAGACATTTTGATTCTTTGAAGAAAGCATTTTTAGATCTTTTCCCAGTTCATAATTACATTTTTCTGTCAACCATTGAGGATATTTAGACCATCGTCCTGTAACCAAGGCGAGATAGTTGCACCGGCTTGTATCCAGTTTAAACTAGAATTACATTGTAACATAGAATATGAAAAAGCTGCTGGTCAAAAAAAAAAAAAAGAATATGAAAGAGTTACCCAATTAAGAGATTTAAATAACTTAGTAAAGTCTTGTGAGCTAAGAAAATAGTTAACATAACCAACGCAAAGAGTAAGGGACATAAATATCTTTCTGTGATTATAGTCCAAACAGATGCTAAGGAGTCTGTGTTGTGTAATCATTGAGTCCTTCAATTATCCATTTTGTTTCATTCCTTTCCTCCATTTTCTCTCACGAACATATTAGAGGGACAACATGAGAGGAAAATTAAATTGCACAAATTTGACCCATCATATCAAAATGTTACTGACAAAAGAAAAAACATGCCGTATATGTTGGGGGATTCACAATAATTGCATCAGCAATGCTAGAATTTATGTCAGGTTCTTTACAAGCTGGAGGCAGAGAGTAAATTTTTTCTTTCATTTGATTTTACTGTTTCTAGTCTTTAATAAAAAAAAAACTAGTTGAATTAGTTCTAAATATAAGAATTCAATCCACTTATCAAATTTATAATATTTTCTTTAAAATATCCTTATTGATTATAAATGTTTTATCAAAAGATAGTTTCAATGCATATTGGTTTACGGGGTTCAATACACATTTGTTACAATTAAATAATTTAGCTAATTTCTTTAATATTTTCAAATTAGTTATTTAGATATTATATTAAGGACCGGAGATAGTATCTCATAAGATCCTGAACGTAGGAAGCCTTTTTTTTTTTTAACTATATTTGCCCCAAAAAGAATTTAAAAGTTAATATGTAATATCAAAATAATAATAGTTATTAAATTCCAATATCTGATTTGAAAATATTTTAGGACCATTTCATTGGAACAAGCTTCTTTCAAGTTGCAGATTTGAAAGGAAACTAAGATAAAAAGTTTAATTATATTTTAAAAAAATTAATGTTATAAACTACTTTCATAATTTCATTACAACTCAATTTTTCCACCTCAGATCCAAACATACCCTTAATTTTTCTTGCAGTCAAGAAAAATAATAAAAGAACTGAATAAAATCAGCATTGATCTCTAAAATATCTACGCACAGAGAAGAGAACAACTGAAACTGTGATTCAATTATAGATAATAGGTTATAGATAATAGGTTACGAGATGTGAGCCGCACAAAACATCTATGTACAGAAAACAAACTTGATCATTATTCAACCAAATCATTGGAATGATCATTAATTTATGACTTACTTATTACTTCCTCCCATCTTATATATCCTTACAAATAATGAAGATTAAAAAATTGGTGGAAATTTTTTAGAAACAATAAATGTATAAAAGAAAATATAATCGTTTTTCAGACATACTCTTACTTACAAAGAGAAATAGAGAATAAGTAGAGAATGAGACAAAAAAAATACGTAATTAATTGGGAATAAAAATAAAAAAAAATATTAAATTCGTAAATAAAAATAAATCATATCTTATAAAAAAAACGAATCAATTGTAATTTATATTTACTATGAGGGCAATAAATCTGTATCTTCACTAGTTTACTCTCTCTCTATAAATATCTTTTCTAGTTAGAGAGAGAAATAAGCTAGGCCTCTATATAGAGCTTATATCCTAGCTTACTTAAAACCCAACCTAGACTATTTAGTAAATAGACTAGGTTCATATTTAGGTCTATTTTCATTCATATTTAGACAAATAAGTCAAACCTATTTTCATAAGGCCTAACCTACAAGCTTACACATCTGACCTATTTAATTATTTTTAATTTGTACTATTATATAAAATATAATACAAATCAATTTTATAAATTATTTATAAAATTACTAATTTTGGCTTTATCCTGGGATACACGTCATAATATTCATACATAAGATCAACCCTTTATTTATCAATCATTCACGATTACATCTCTTCTTTTTTATCACTGACAAAGGTACTGCTAGCTTACTCACTCTCCCATTACATGCGTTATTCGCTGAAGCATAAGAATTGTTGGAAGTTTATTTTAGTAAGGCCTAAATGAAATATTATAATTTTA